GGGGGCCGGCAGCAGGGCAGGGCGGGCAACCCGCGACCATCCCTCGCGAAAGGACGTCGGTTGTCCGCGATCCTTCGCGGAGGTAGTCGCGAACCGCGACCGACCTACTGCGACGACGTTGCGCCTCTCGCGGTTCGCGACTTCCCCCGAAAGGACCGCGAACCACCGACGTCCTTTCGCGAGCGATGGTCGCGGGTTGCCCGCACTGCTGCACCAAGGCTGCACCGGCCCCCTCTCGTCGTCATTCGGACCTCAAGGCAACGTTCCGCGGACACAGGAAGAAGAATAGCGGGCAGAACATAAAGGTAACTGATTGGCCGAGCGCCTACCCCACTACCGGCGTGACGTAGAGGCGGGAAGCTCTCGACCAATCGGTTACAATTATGTTCTACCCGCTGTTCTTCTTCCTAGCGAGCTTCTTCCTTAGTTAGTCGAAATACACTACAGTGGCCACTCGCATAGCCGCGCCTCTGCGCTAAGCTCTACTAGCCTGACTCCACTGCTCACCGCCATACACTGCTGGCGTGGATTCTGATTGTTCTCTGATTACTGTTCAACAGCTTTGAAGCTAAACAATAACACATACAGCACTGTGGCCGCGGCGCGACTCCTTGTCCCGGTAAAGCTGAGAAGAAGAACTCGAGGAACAAGAAAACAGTAGTACCATGTTACAGCATAGTGACGCACACAATTTTCAACAATTTCAGTCGTCTGCTCTTTCAGAAAGTTTCGAGAACGGAGCTTTTTACTGGAAGCGTGCCATTGCACGCCAGCCGGCACACCTGGCGCTATCTGACTCGCCGTAGAAGGCTTTTAGAATAGTATTTCTCTTAAGAGGATACACTCTATGTCAAGCCTTCAGCTGTTTTCGGAAATTCAACGCTGTGAATGTTCTGCATGTTGTTCCCGTATACCGGGTGATTCAGAGAAGACGCAGGTGCGCGAGGTGCGCGCGCGTTTGCCTACCCTCGACTCGACGGGTGCACGGGTACCCTCCTCACCTCTCCCCAGACGTCGACCCGTGCGCCCGCCGAGTCGAGGATAGGCAAACCCGCCCGCACCTGCGTCTTCTCTGAATCACCCGGTACAAGGAAAATGCATTTAAAAATAAAATAAAAATGCATTTAAAAATAAAATATTATATAGTAATAATTATAAATAATGATAAATGAAACGCTCGTGGCGATGATGACTGTCAATCAGAAAACAATCGCATCATACACAATCGAGGGAGTGAAGGGCCAATGGCCGATATGAAATGGTGGCGAATGCGAAAAGGAACGAGGTGCTCGACTCTCGCCATCGTCAAGGTCGCACACTAGTGTGCTGCTGTGCAGCTGTACTGCACAGTTTGGTCTGCATCGTTTCGGTCGTTGGCGTGTTGATAAGTAGCTCAAGGGCGTGTCACGGTCACGCCAGCCCGCATTGGCTCTAATTAATAGGTCCGGAGAAAAAGCCGATTTTTTTTTAAAAAAATTGAAGAGTAGAAAATTTACCTACGCACCTATTTTCAATCGTTCAAACGCAGGTTTTTCGGTGGGCTAGCTAATCGGCCATTGCAGTGTCTCTTCAGTTTTACTAGAGTACCTACAGCCAAAATCAAGACGCTGTAGCACCAAAAGGTCCAGAGTTAGAGCCGATTTACGTAAATATTTGACGTACCTGTGGCCTGTGGCCACAAAATTGTGGCCACAAACCCGGCGGCCAGAGTCAGCTTAATCCGACCCGACTATAGAACACCAATATTCGGGTAATATGAAATCCA